AGGGGCTCCTGCTTCAGGTCCCCACTCCTCTCTCCTCTCTGTTCTCCTCCTCCTCTCCTCCTCCTTGTTCTCTTCTTGTGATCTTATATGGTGTGCTTGTGTACTGTTCACTGACACTCATGATCCCACAGCTTACCTGGGTATACTGGGGAACTCACCTGGGTATGCTGGGTATACTGGGTAACTCACCTGGGTATACTGGGTAACTTTCCTGGGTATACTGGGTAACTCACCTTGGTATACTGGGAATACTGGGTAACTCACCTGGGTATTCTAGGTAACGTACCTGGGTATGCTGGGTAACCCACCTGGGTATACTGGGTATACTGGGTATACTGGGTAACTCACCTGGGTATACTGGGTAACGTTCCTGGGTATACTGGGTATACTGGGTCAAAGATTAGATTTCTTGCTGAACACTGGCTGTGGTATTTACTGGAAAGTGTTTTCAACTTCCTGCTCTCTGCCTGAGACAAGTCACACACACACACACACCCTGCCAACAACAGGGTTTTACACTATGGGCTCTGACAGGTTTCTGTCCCATACCAACAGATCAGACTTCGAACCCTGTTTCTCTTTGAGGTGTTGTTGCTGCCTTAGTGTGCTGGGGGCCTGTTACCTCTCTGCCTCACTGGTCCTTCCTCTAGAACCTCAGTCTCGGTATTGGGTTGTGGGGTTTTGGATATGCCTGAAAACAACAGCTGAGCCGAGAGATAGAAGACAGGAAGAAATATCTGAGTGATGTGGAGACACTGTGTCAGGAGTATGAGGAGAAACTGGAGGAAGAGTCTGGAAAGTCACTGCTTGCACTTAAAGACCTGGGAGAAATTTAAAGAATGGATAAAAAGTAGATAATGTGGTGAACATAATTGTGATCAATGTGACCTGAATTTGAAAGTCAATACAATTCTTTGCAATTGAGGTCAAAGAATTCTAAGAAAATCAGACCGGGCTTTGAAAAGTTTCATTAATAGTTTAAAACAACAGTGCAGATCCACTGCAGTGAACCATAAAGTTATCCACTCTGAAACGATGAACACATGAAGTGTTTCTTGACATTTGTAAACATTAAAGAAAGAGATCAACAAAACCAGAAAGAAAAACCAGTGTACAAATATATTTGTAACGTCTTCCATGAAATACTGAGAGGAGAAACGGAGCTGGTCCTATTGATATTGTCACAACTGAGGGGTTCGGAAACTGGTGAAAATCAGGAACCGACCGAGCGGTTAAGTCAATAAGTCAAACAACTATTCATAACCCCCGACTGGAAGTGATTTCTCTACAATAAGACACAACTCTTCACTCTTCACTGGGATTCGGTGTGGGTCAGCAGAGTCCTGGCTTCACGCGTGTGGAGAGGATACAGGATACAGACCTGACAGCAGCCTCTGATCAGGTCAAAGGTCATGGGTTTCATACAGCAGGCTGGTGGTAGCAGAGCTCGTTCTAAATGTCCATATTAGGAGCTGTTTCTCTCTACAGATACTTCCTTGTACCTGACCACTTGATTTCTCAGAAATGAAAATTCACCTTTAGTTTGGGGAACAGGAAGTCTAGAAACAGAAGGTATGAAATGTGGCTAGACTTTCTGCGGTTATATCGTTAGCATCAGAAGGTCAGATAAAGTGCTTGCAATGTATTCTCTCATACTGTTGCTGAGTAA